TCAGATGGCTCGATCATCATCTTGTGTGCCGATGATCTTATTTACAGTTATCTTCCTTTATAGTTAAATGAAAAAACAATTTTTTTAACGTTAAAACACAAAACAGTTGTTGAAATTTTGATTAAAGAAAATTTAGCTTCTGTTTGTAATGAAAAATTTTCTCCTGCAAAAATAGAAACTAATGAACTTTTTGTCTTAAACGAAACTCACTAGTTATACTCTATTTTGAGACAAAACTTCTCTAATAATCCTTTAAATTTGTGGAGTAGAAGCCCTCGTTTTTGCAGATTAAAACTCAAAGACACTCACATCATCATTCGTGTAAAACCAATGATATATCTCCGCAAAGATATAAATGAATTTGATGATCAACAACAAGATCTTCTTCAAAAGAAGCTCATTGAACGAACCAAAATCCCTCATAGCAGTCCAGTTTTTATGGTACGAAACCATAGTGAGCTAAAAAGAGGTAAAGCCTGTATGGTAATCAACTATAAATGGCTTAATGAACATTTAATCTTTGATGGATATTTTATTCCTCGAAAAGATGTTCTCATTAATCAAACTCACGGAGCAAAAATCTTTAGCAAGTTTGATTGTGGAGCATAGTTTTGGCAAATAAAATAACGCAAAAAATCTAAGCCATTAACTGCTTTCAGCACACCAAGAGGTCATTATCAGTGGACCGTAATGCCATTCGGTCTCAAAACTGCACCTCAAATATTTCAAAGATAGATGGACAAGATCTTTAATGACCTTAAAGACTTTGTTGTTGTATACATCGATGATATTCTGGTCTTCTCTAAAACAAGAGATAAAACATCTCCAATGTCTTTCAGAAAAACTGAAAAACCATGGAATCATTCTATCTCCAACAAAGATAGATGTTGAACAGGAATCTATTGATTTCCTCGGTCTGGTTTTCTCACAAAGGTATAAAACTACAGAATCATATTATTATAAAAATTCGTGATTTTCCTGATGTTATCCAAGATAAAAAGCAGCTACAAAGCTTTTTAGGAATCTTGAATTATGGCCGCAACTTTATTAAAGACTTTGTCTCAAAAAGAACTTCCTTTAATAAAGAAGCTATAAAAAGATAAAGTGTTTCACTGGACTGAGAACGACACCACTGTTGTCCAACAAATCAAACGTGATTTGGTCCATATCCCTGAAGTTTATTTTCCTCAAAATGGTGATAAACTTATTTTTGAAAAGGATGCCTCTGATTTTTTTTGGGGGTGTGTGTAAATAGCCATTCCATAAGACAAGTGGGATGAGGTTATTTTCACAAATCATCAAATACGAGCACGAAAAACTCCTATTCCAAAAAGGCTTCAAAAAAAAGAATTGATTTGTGGCTATAATTCTGGCAAATTTAAACCCAACGAGCAGAATTATATTATTTATGAAAAAGAACTTCTGGCAATTAAATTAGCAATAAAAAGATTTCATATCTATCTTGCTCTAGAAGATTTTATCATTCGCACTGATAATCAAGTAGTTAAGGACTTCCTAATAAACAAAAAAAATTGTTTAAATGAACGACGATTAAAATGGTATAATGTAACTACTCAATATTCCTTTTCTATTGAACATATTAAAGGCACTAACAATATTCTTGTAGATTTCTTAAGCAGGAATTATAATGAAGCATTTAACCCAGATATTTCTATGAACACAGATGAGTGATGATCAAGGCAAAAAGCCTCTTCCCGACAAAGACGGTTGGATCACAATTGCTAAAAAAGCAATAGATAAGCCAACGCCATTACAGCCTAACAAATGGTTTATGGTTTTTGCTGGTTGATAAGCGCCGAATATTGTATATTTAAGCGCCCTAAATTGCATTAATTAAGTCATTTACTTGATTATTGTATGTAGTTTATCTTCATTTGCACGTTTTTGTATATTTTCAGGTTCATTGGCCAAAATGGAACAAGAATAAGGCCTTGTGGAATCTTGAGCAATCAAAGGTCACAATGCTGAATTTCTGGCAGCAGTGGAACCTGGGCTCTGCTCGCCATTTTGACCTTGAAAACTCGAGAACTAGAATTCCCTCATAACATGACATATTTAGAGCTCTGAATCAGCTTTCCAAATCTTTAAGCAGTTCATCATTCGGAGTTTGGAGCAGAGAGTTATGATCTTCTTATCAGAGGTGCTCAGAACTGCCTGGCAGCAATGAATTTCTGTCTTTCTCTTCAATTTCGACCAACCAGACTTGATAATTGGATCTCCACCAAAACATAAAGTTTTTAGAGCTCTGAATTAGCTTTCCAAATCTTCAAATGTTTCATCATTCGGAGTTCGAAGCACAAAGTTATGGCTGTTTTACCAAAGTAGGTCCGGGCGAAGCAAGGCAAAAATGGAGCAATCTGCTCCATTTTCGAGTGCTCGAGGCCCTATTTCGAGCACTCGAAATTTGGGCAGAATGCCCTTCGGAATTCAGCCACTTGCACCTTATTTTCCTCATTTTTTATCTCCCTCTTTATGGAGTGGTTGGGGATGTTTTTGGAGGGGGGAGAGAGCCTTATTTGGAGGTAGATAAGGGGAGGAAAGCCACACAATCTCATATCTCACTTTTGGATCAGATTTTTGGAGAGAGAAAGAGGAGCAAGAAGAGAGTTCTTGGAGCAAAAGGAAGGAAGCTTGAAAAGGGAGGAAAAGGGCAAGCTTCTTCCTTCATCTAGGGCCACCATGGGTAACTAAACCCTCTTCTAGGGAGGTGATGAAACTCCTCCTTGTAAGCATGTCTAGTTTTTGATTTATTTTGGGGAATGAAATGTGTATTTGACTAGTTCTATAATCTAGAGCATGTTACATAATGTAATGGATGTTTTAATGTTCTAAAGATCATGTTGCATTAAATACTCTTGTCTTAGATGATTTAATCTCATGGTTGTATGGCTTGTAGTTTCATAGTGACAATGGAGCTAAGACTATGGAATGGTTTTAATGGCATGATTTTGAGTATCTTGTTAATTCATTGCTTAAGAATTTCTTTTGATGGATTAACCTTGTGACTTGTTATCATGTGCTCTCATCAATTGATTACTTGTTTGACAATCTCTAGCTTAGTGAGCATGTTGAGGATTGCACCATAGTTTAGGTAATTTAAGCATGTGGAGCTTTGATAGGTCATTCTTACATTTTAATTAATTGAATTTCTTGAAGATGTTATAGTAGTCATGAATTGCTATTCATCAAGGTCATTTCTACATTAATTCCCCAAATCAATCATATAATTAGCTTGTGTAAAGGTTTGGAGTGGATTCACTTCCCTAGACTTCCTTCTCTAAATCTTCTCTTTTAATCTCCTTCAATTTATTGTTTTATACATTCTGAATTTGTAGTTTAATGACAAACAAAACAAACCCCCTATGAACACCCCTTATCACTCTAAAATGACTCTAGACACTTAGGTTGCCATAGATTAGCGCAGTCCCAGTGGTTCGACTTACCCGTCCAATAGCCCTATTTTACAATGATTCGTGCTATTGTGAAGGTTGATGTTTAATTGACCAACCGATCACTGGTCACCAACCAGGAATCTACTCCGAATGGAACGACTTTCACAATCAGTTACGATCATTTTCTGGCTCATGTTTCAAGGCTTATGATACACTTATAGAAGCCCAAAATGTCTTCTATAGTGTGGGTAAAGCCTCACAAAAAATGTTTTCACAACTCCAGGAGCAAGTAAAGGTAAAAGACTTCTATAATCCCAGACTTCGAAACAATTTTTATAATGAAATTAATAGTGTTTGGAAATTTCACAAAATTGGTGCCAATAAGAAATTCAGGCAACACCTGAGTACACTTACTTCTCTTATAGCTGAACAAACAGCTATGACTGATGAGCTTAAACAGCTTTGCATCCAAATCTGTCTCACCATTAGCTGGGAAAAAGATTTTTCTTTATCACAAATAAATTGTTTTCTTAAACTTGCCCAGTTAGTCGGCGAACTCGATTTTCCACAAAATACGTTTGCTAAGATCAATCGTATATGTCACCTTGAAAAAGCAAGGAACATTTTTCCTCCTGAACTATTTCGAATAATCCTCTCTAAAACAATGGATCATTCTGTTACAATAAAAAAAATTATTTCTCAAATCATGAAGAAATTAATACTTTCGACATGATCTATAACGGGAAAATAATCCCAAAAATGACTCTTTTCATTGTTCCCAGTTTTCTCTGATCAATGGAACTTGTCGATTGGGGAGTATTTAACAAAATTACTTTCTCATCACAAGACTGCCGTTCCTGGATTGCATTTCCTGCAATGATCAAAGCCATGATCTATAAAGCCACTTCCCACTGAAAATACAGTCGTAACCTGACTTTTTGGATTTCTAGTACTATTGGATAGAGAGAAAAAACCCGTTTCTTTCAACCCTTCCAAATCTGGTTCCTCAAAACTACTGAAGAAGCAGACCTTGAACATACTCAACTTCTCAATTCAGAAGAAATCGCCAACAGCATCGATCCATATTACCTTGCAATGCACAGTCTTATCCACCTCCAAGACAAAGCTAACAGAATCCTAAACGGAACATTTAATAATCATAATTAAATCGGTTATTGCTGTGATGGACGAAGACTTTTCATCACCTCTCTGACTATGTATTATCCTAAATATTCAGAGAACTATATCTTAACTGCCAAAGAATTTCTAAAAGAAATAGTGGCTAACGCCATTGACATTCTAGAAATCGTCCGCAGCGTACTGATGACATCAATTTGGATTGAGACATAGCTGATGTTCAGTCACCAATCAGCACTCCTCCACTTGATGAAAATGAACTTCATAATCTCATCAATGCCTTGGAAGGATAATCTGTCACTCTTCTTTCTGACCGACTACAGTTCATCCAGCACATGACAAGAAGAGCTGTCTACTATTCATCAACAGTGAAAGTAGCCGATAAACTATTCATCAACAGTGAAAGTTGCCGACAATACCTTTATGAATAGTACAAAGCCAGATTCCTCCTTATCTACTACATTGTTTCCTGGAGTGATTAGAGCCAGGACGGAAAAATGCGTCAATGGGCATTTTGCCTTTCTCTGCCCATGTAAACCTTCGGCGTGGAGGTAGGAGGTCGGAGGTTTGAACATTAGATGCTCGTAGGAGAAGTAATTTGTCCCATCTAGATAGGCTGCTAGATATGTGTGCTGAAGTTGATCTTTGCAGCTGTGGTTTCTCTTTATTAGTTATATAAAGATTAGAACCAAAGGCCTGAATAGTGGTAACAGTAGGTTCAACTACGAATAACCAGTTGCGAGGAATTTCCAGATCTATCCATTTCAGTAATTTTGGTTCAATTATAGAGTCAAAGGGACGCAGTTTGAACAAGGTGAATAGTTTTGAGTCAATTGTAGGAATGGTGGCAGTCTCGGGTTCACGACTAAGCTCGTAAAGCACTTTCCACTGTATCCTTAGACTTTGAGAATCAAAATCCATTCTGAGATTTGAAAGTTGAGGTTTGACTTGAAGAACTTTCTCAATGTTTGGATCTGGAAGAGAAACAAAATAATTTGGTTTGATTTTAAACCATATTACATTGTTAAGAAGATTGGATTGAATGCCACCAATGAGGGCATCAACTGGATTATGGAATCGATTATCCATAACGAGCGTAAGAATGGGTTGATCAGTTCCTTTACGGAACAGAGAAGTAATTTTGATCTGAACCATTCCTATATGAATATAGCGTGCAAGAGGATTCTGCTGTCGCCGTCGAGCAACCTTGTCGTTGTTGAGGATATTGAATCTATATTTACCACTAGAGGTGTAATTGATAGTGGTATCACTACTGAATTGTTCAAGGATCCTTTTTGAAAAGATAGAGAACTTAGAAGTTTTATAGACTTCTTCTTTCTTCAGCTTTTGGAGTTTAGCGAATTGAATGAGTTGTTCATTCATAAACTGGATTTCTTCACCAATAACGCTGCTTAATTTGATGTTAGAGGATTCCTCATCCTGATGAGAAGTAAACTGCATCATACAGACGTCTTCATCACTGTCACTTGATTCGGAGGATTGACTAAAAATTTCATAAAGAATATCGTTAGAATCGAAGAGATCGCTGCCATAGACGACACAGAGATCTTCTGCGTTAAGGCAGTTTGATTATCTTAGATGCACTTTTGCTTTTATTGGGACAATTAGGTGAAATATGACCAGGTTCATTATAAATGTAACATTTGCAATCTTTTTTGATTTCAGGAGTCTTTTTTCCTTTGCATGTGCTTTGTTTAGAAGTAGTGGAGGTCGAAGAAGATGGTTTAACATACTTCTTGGATTTTTGGATAGGCTTTTTACCTTTCTTCCATTTATGTCATTTGAAATGTTTCTTCTTCCTAGAAGAGCGGCGCGTAGGGATAGAGCTTTGTGGCGCACAACCAACCTTCCAGGTTTCTTGAAGAATTTTGTCGCAACAACGCTGTCCGGCGGGGGTATTGCTAATTTGATTCTTGACCTATTTTTTGGCTTTGGTTTCTAAACATTTTTCATTAATAAGACGATAAATGAAATTGGTACGAAAACCAACGTTATCGGTTTGTTTGATGTGAACAAGAAAGTCGAGGTAGCCTTTAATGGCTAACTCATCCCAAGGACTTGGAAGTTTATAGAAGAATTGGGGTAACCAATGTTCCATTGCATTTGGAGGAAGACGTCTAAAATATTTACTAAATATCTTGACAAACCCATTTCTTTCAACCCTTCCAAATCTGGTTCCTCAAAACTACTGAAGAAGCAGACCTTGATTGAAATGGCCAGTTCATGGACTGAGAATTAGATTGATTTGATTGCCCATGACCTTGAAATGATGAATTTTATAGGGCTTGTTGCCTCCACTAGAAATTTGGATGATCTCTCTAATCCAGATTGTATGTATTGGAATAAGGATTATTTCTAGGGTGAGAGAACATGACATTTACCTATTCTGGCATACCTTCAAAAAATTGCTCCGGTGTGGGGCAATCTTCTGCATTATGAAAAGTACTTGTACAATGTGCACACATAGCACTTGATGAAGAATTTTTAGAAGATGAGAGATGTGGTGCCACAAGCTGAAAAACTTTGTGAGCTATGGTATCCACTTAAGAATATTCTTCCCTAAAAGTCCGTGGTTGACACGAATTTGAGGGTTTAACCATATTAGATGTAGAAGTTCTACGAGAACCATGTTGCATAGAATTTTCGTTTATGTTCTTAAGTAGAGTCCATGCATCATCTGGATTTTTGGACATAAACATGCCCCCACATGAAGAATCAATTAATTGCCTATGTGGTTATGTCAAACCATTATAGAAGGCTTGCACTAATTGCCATTTCGGAATTTAGTGGTGTGGACACTTCCTCAGAAAATCTTAAAGTCTCTCCCACGTCTCATAGAATATTTCCCCATCAATTTAGGAAAAACTAAGAATGGAATGATGCATTTGATTGGTTTTACTCACAGGATAATACTTTTTAAGAAATTCTTATTGCAATTGGACCCATGAAGTGATGGAATTAGTAACAAGAGAGTTCAACCAATATCTTGCTCTATCTTTCAAAGAGAATGGGAAGAGAAGCATATGAAGTGCATGTTGGGGAAAATCCCTCATCTTGATGGTGGAGCAAATTTCCAAAAACTCATCAAGATGTTTATAAGGATCCTCATTATCAAACCCATGATATGTTGGAAGCATTTGAATTGTGATAGATTTGATCTCATAATGATGAGCCTCAACATTAGGCATGACAATACATGATGGAGATATGTATGTAAAGGGTACAAAATGGTCCCTAAGAGTCATTGGTGCTAAATTTTCATTTTCAGCATTAGGATTTCCGAGATTATCATGTTCATTAGCCATTTTATCTACTTCAATTTCAAGTTCTCTTAAAATTTCAGGATCCCTAGGGTTCCTTCTTTGTTGCCTAAGAGTTCTATCAAGTAAAGCGATATCAATTGGTTCCTCAAGATGTGGTAAAGACAATGATCTACGACCAACCATCAATATCAAACACAACAACCCTTCACCAATACATCCACATACATTGATCCATTTCTCCTCAATTCAATAATAATTAAAACAAATTAAATTGGCCACAACAAGGACCTATGCTCTGAATAAAATAATAAATTTGCAATAGCCTCAACAAAGGCCCAACAAAATATAACTAGGAACTTCAAAAACTTACCCAAAGTCGTTAAGACTTCAAATTTCAAAAATTAAACCTTCCAGAAAGTGTTTAACCCCTACCAACACAAAAACATCAAAAACATGAAAAGATATATACCACTTTGGAGGTTACCCAAGGATTTATCGGTCTACAATTATAGCTATTTTTTACTTGGTTTTATTGTGACTGACTCACCATCAGCCTCTTTTACATCACTCATCATCTCTTAATTAGTTTTTTCTGTTTCTTAGGAAAAAAAAAAAAAAAAAAAGATTAAAGTAATATCAGGTAAATGAAAATTGAAACGTTACCTATGAGATGCCACCATTAAAACTTGACACTTTGCCAATACTATTTCTATATCACTATCTATACATTTTGGAATGTATGAATGCATATGAAGATTGTTAAAAGTTTTATTATTCTTCCTTATTAAATAAGTTGCTCACCTTCAAAATTTCATGTGCTGCTGTGACTGTGAGAAAGAACTTCACCATTCTTGACATGGACTTAGTATGTTGAAACTTGAAAGGTAAAAATCTGCTGCCATTACTTGAATAGTGGAATGGACGTTATTGTACGAGTCTTGTGGAAGAATGTTCTACTTAGATGATCCTTCTTGAAGACTGTAATGACCCGGTCATTTCCTTCCTTTCCTTTTTTCCTCAGAATTTTACGGATGAATTTTTTTCGTTGAAATTTCTTTTCTGGGTTTGATTTCTTATCACTTAGTGTCATCTCAGGTACTCGAAAATGATTTCTGAGACTATTTATTTTAGATTGACAACTTCTTTTAAGGACCGCGTCATTTCCACATTTTTCATTTTTTGACACTATTCACTTTTCGTCTTTTTCCCACTTGTCACTTTGTTGGCACAACCTCACTTTTTGTGTTCGGATTTGATTCTAGTTTTGCATGCATCCACGATATTTAAATTCCATGCTATGTGTATTTTTAGTTTCTTAGAAAAACATGCTAAGTGTTTACTTTTTTGGTAAAGGGTATGGATGCATAACCTTTTTGTAATATTCTTAACTTGTGGGGTTTTAGTGTAATTACATAAAGTAATTATTTTTCTTCTTAGGGACCATTTTTTAATTTAATTTAGAAGATATTTTGGAAAATGACCTTTTTACAATTTTTGGAAAGTGCGACAAGTGTCACACTCCTATAGAACCACTTGTTGACATTTTGGTGAAACCACTTAGAAGCTTAATCTCTTGACACATGGAGGGTGGAGATTCACCCATTTGTTAGCCTAGGATTGGACCACTTGTTGGCTTGGATGAGTGACAAGTGTATGCTCCAAATTAAGTCTAGCAATTATTTTTGGGTTACTTTGGGATTATAGTTTTAAAGAAGGGTTTTTGTGCAATTGACCAAACTTGTGCGTGTTGACCATGGTATAAGATTACATAGTGAGTAGAGGATTTCTATTTCCTTCACTCACACTTCATTTCATTGTTTCATTTTCTTCCTCACCACAAACCCTAGCCACAATTAGAGAAGCTTGATGCTTAGGCCTTGACTTTGATTTTTGAGAACCTTCCATTGATTTCCAAGCTTAACCTTGGGAATACTTTTTATTCCCCTCATCCTCCTCTACATAACCCTTGAAAGGTTTGCCATTTAGTGTTAATTTGCCTTGGATTCAAGGGGAACAATCCTCTTGTGAGGTTGTAGTTTATTTTCTAAATGATTTTAACTGCTTTTGTAGTGAAATACAAGTTGTATGCATGTTTTATATCAATTTGAGAAATAAATGATTTATTGTAACTTACATATAACTCACTTTAAATTTGATATATGGCATGGCCATGACTTGAGCTTTGTTGTATATTAATTTGGGGTGGTTTAAATGAGTTTTCAAATCTAGAGATTTAATGAATTTAAATTGATTTAAATTCTACTAAATTATACCTTGCTTGTATTCCATTTTTGACTTGATGTATGGCATGGCCATGACTTAGTCCTTGTTGTATATTTATTTGAGATCATTTGAACAACTTTTGAAAAAATAGAGATTTAATTAATTTAAATTAATTAAAATCTACATGATGGAGTCTTGCTCATTTTGTTCTTTTAAATTGATATGTGTAATGAGCATGCTATGTTGTTTAATATATATTAATTTGAGATTATTTGGAATTGATTTGAAATCTAGAGACTTTCCATGATTAGGTTGAAAATCTCTTAAAATGTAGTATGTTTAATTACCTTGTGAGCATGTTACTAACTTGATGTAGAATTAGTACTTGTGGCTCCTTAAAATGGTAATTGGACTTAGCATGATATAAAATATCATTGACTTGTAAAGCTTGTTTAAATATATATCTTGTGTAGGTATATAGCTTGTTAGAATATTACAATTGCTTACCTTGAAAGCTAGTTACTAAATTGTAGCTTATTTAGTACTTGTGGCTTAGGATGGTAGTGTGGCTCAATTGTTGTAAAATATTCTTGCTTTATGTATAAATTGCATATTGAGGACATGACATGTCATATGCTATTTAGATTTGAATTCTAGGACATGGTTTGTGTAGATTCAACCTTACTTGTGCATGGAATGTGGTAACTTGCATTTGAGTTTGTATAAGTTTTGAACTTATTGATTTTGGAAAGCTTGTGAGGACATAATTTATTTGATGGCTAGGGTTTGGCTCTAGTATGGAGACAAGAGTCTTCTAAGTCATAAGTGCGTACTAGTTGGTTCCTTGTGGGTCGTAACTACCCGAAAATACTTGTTTGGTCTAGCGACCGAATGTCCTAGTCTTTCCACTATTTGTTTTCACATTTAATTTCAAGTTGTTAATCATGGATTGCT